ATCGATGATAAAAAGACACTTGCTATCCTCTTAGAAATAAGCAGCTTGTTACGGCACCGTCATAGTGAAAAGAAAAAGCTATCCTCCTCCTCTACCTTATTCTTAGCGGCGATTCATCTCGTCAATTAACAGTGTCTGCCGTAAATTCGTCGCTTCTCTATTCGTTCCGAGGACCCTCCGATATACACCGCTACGACGAAAGATTCGAAAGAATCCGACCGGGACTTCTTCCGTCCGCGCAATCAAATTATGTTAGGAAAGAAAACAATCAAGTGCTCCAATTCGCGACCTCGCTCCCAATCCACGCTCGTGGATATCGACGTGATCGTTGCCGAGGACTTTTAGAATCCTTTGGAAGGGCTCTCACAAATTATCTCACTCGTCCACGCGAAACGCTGCCTTCAATAGACCTGAATTTTTAATGAAAACTAGCAGAGGTTTACGCTATCCCTTTGTTTGTTTCTCTCCGAGTGGTATCACGTGTGATAAAATGATAAAATCAAACGAGTTTCTCAATTTGAAGCAAAGAAGTACACAATTTGTCGAATATACTTCTGTGCTTTGATACCACGAAATTCCAACTTGCTAAAAAATTTCCAAGTTTTCACGATTGTTACGTTCGACAAACACGAAGAGAAGCGAAGATCGCGCGATGAAAAGGCTTTAGAGAATCGCGTACTCGCGAAGAGCCCCGTTTTCTTCTTTATTTTATCACGCGAACGCACACGTACGGCGATCGCAGCGATTTTCGTGATCACGTCGAAGCGAGCGAAGTCGCGACAAATAATCGTGTACGCAAATTCCCGAAACACCGCTAAAACCGTAAACCGTTCCTCGCTGTTCCTGCCTCCTTTGCTCGCGCCAGGAACGCTCGGAGGAGCGGATAGTGGCGCGCATTACGCTTGACTAACGTGGATTCTTATTAAAAATTGAAAAGTAGGGAGTACAGGCGACGCGCGCAACAGTCGTGCACGCGTCACAAAGATCGAAGGAAAACTTCTTCGCACGCGCCTCCGATCGCGCGGGGAATCTCAAGTGTCTCGTCACCAGCGCGTCGGTCACGAAGAGAATCTTTCATTAATTTTCGAAAAAGTGCACAAATGCATTGTATTCTCCTCACAGAGACTGATTGCAAACCGCAGGCGTCGTTCTGCCAGCATACTGCGCGAAAATTGTAAAAAAAAGTCACGTTTTAGCTCCCGTTTCAATGCGTGCAAAAGAGAATGAAAAAAAAGTGATTTATGCTCAGTACAATCTCTTTTTCGACTTAAATTCTGTCTAATTTCGAAGGCGACCTCTATCCCGTCGTTCGCGCAACGTCGTGCAAAGTTTTCACGGCGCGCGCTGTGAGGACACCCAAGCTCCTGGCCGCCGTCGATCGAACAGGCGCGTTCTGCTGCGTTTGATCTGTGATCGAAGTGGCGGATTGGACAAATGTCTGATAAAAAAAAATGACAAAGGTACGAAGTGCGAACCGAACTTGGAAAAAAGAAATTGGGACGAAAGATAGAGAATACTTAAAGCGCTGCTTGCTTGCTTGCTTGCTTGGCAATTGCTCATTTGGCACTCTGAGAAAACGTACGGTCGAGACGAAACGATCGGAGAAGAAGGACTCAGAAACGCGATCGTCCTTGCCTCCTGCACTAAACGCGCGAGAAATTCATTAACACGGGAGTTAAATTCTTCGCGCACGGGAGACACGTCGCCACACGGCTCGCCAACTCGTCGGTCCGTTGGCTGCGTTCAAGGAAGATTTTCCGCATAGATACTGTCCTTAATAGCGTCCTTAAGCCGCTACCAACGCACGCGTTCTCCCGTGCGTACGTATATTTCCTCTTTTTTTTCATTTTTTCACTTTTCATCCCTCCCCCGTTTCTTCGCCTCACTCTCCTTCGATTCTTCGATAAACCGTGAGCGAAACCACGCGACCACTTCGAATCGATGCTTCTCGATATATGTCGTCGTAACGCAAAAAGGAGAAAATTAAATATCTTCTGAAAAGACTGATACGCTTCTTAGAGGACACTGTACCTTCACTAACTCCCTAATAAACACGATATAAATAATCAATTGTGCCAATTGTGTGTACGAACAAAAATCTGGCAGATTTAGTAGTTTTTGAAGTTAAAAGCACCAATATCCGGACATGTACCTAATACTAGACATTCTTATTGTTTTTGTATTCAAATATAGATACTTAAACTTTCAACATAAAACATCTATACATATAAATTCTATGTTAAGAATTTAAATATGCGTATTTAAAGGCCAAAGCAATAAGAATGCTCAGGATTAGATATGTATCCAGGAATTTAGCTTAATCATGATTAATCTTGTGACGCGAGTGAAGAGACACAGCGCGGCGTGTGAAACACGAACGAGTCTCTTCCTCGGTTACATTAGGGTGATATCTACCGGTGGCAAAGCGTCAGGGACACCGTGTTATGAATCTCGCGTGCAAAATGAAACGGTCGGCTTGATCGGACACGTGCAAGGGAAGAAAGCCGATCAGAACTCCCACGGGGATGAACGAAGTGGCCGCGCAGCCTCACGATCCTCACTGGCACACGCTTCACACACGCGGGGTACTACGTTATCTCCTAAATATACTTCCCGGCGCGCAATGTGGGGGGATTAAGTATACTTGTGTTTCTTTTTGCCCTTTTAAAACGAAGTAACGTAAAGAAGGTACACGATCGATTACACACTACCTTGTGAACGGTGGGTGAACAGTACTGAACTAGACAGGGATGAAATTTAGAGAGTTCCGAAAGATCATATTCCTGAAGAGTATCTAATGAAAACGAGTCGGTGTACACCGACGGTGTATTGCCAATCCGTGTGAGGAAAAACACTTCGAACGGATATAGAAATAAATCTACAGCAGCGTGAGATTCATTAATCGTAGTTGAGTTTAGTTTGCACAGTGAATCGTCGATAAGGTATTTGTGACAAAAATGGAACTGGTGTTTTGCCGAAGATGGTTCCCTCAATGGCTGCTTCGGCCCTCAATGATTTTGAAAGCGTTCAATCCGAAACAGGCAAGCAATTTGTTACTATCCTATCTCTGTCGCGGTACAATGACTCGTATTAAGAAGGAAAGTGAAATATATAATGTTCCTCCAGCGGATTACGGTATCAGTATTGAACTAAACAGGGATGAAATTTCTCAAGTTTCGAAAGATGTTACTCATGAAGCGCATCCAACGAAACCAAGTGTTCAGAATGGTGGGCGGTCTGTTTGTGGGACGGCCGCTATTGGTGGACAGCAACGACCAGCATCGCCAGAAAAAAAGCAGGTTCTCTTCCTCTCCAAACACTTACCTCTCTCCCACTTAATATGTTATATACACTGGCTACTTCGGGCGATCACGACTTTCCGCTAAAGGGGTCCCGGGGCACATGAGACTCAGGACGGTCGGGGGAGGGAGGCTCTCTCAATCGAGTGACGGCGAGCCACCAAGACGCGGGGGATGAGAGTCGTTAGTTCGTTCGTTCGACCGTCCAGACGAGAGAACGCGTGCGACAGCAGGGCTCTGTCGGTACGCAACTGATAATCGGTTCCTTCTTCTGATAGCTAAAGCCTCGCTCTCTTGCACAATTTGACGCGAAAAATTTTCGCTCGTCCGTCCGGCGTTCGGTAACGCGCCCATGCGCGCCGGGTGGCGGAAAGTCGCGGCGCGCCCGACCGAATCAACGTTGAAACCCATCGAATGAGTCGTAGATCCTTAAACAAAATCAACATGGCCGCCATAAACGTATAAACTAATAAAATGTAAAAAAAAACAACGTTCTCGATTATCTAAGTAACAAACGATAGTTATCTCTTCTTCTTTTCTTTCTTTTTTTTCATTCTTTCTTTCTTTCTCCCTCCCATCCCTTCCTAGAGAGTAGCCTTTTTGCTTTCTTTATACACGTTTACAATAAAAGGAGTCGACCTTGTTTCCGCGTCTAACAGTGCTTATCTCTTTCCGCCTAAATTTATTTTTTGCATTTAATAGTTTTTTTTGTTTTCCTCTTTTAAATAATTCAACTATGTGAAACGGGAGACGGCGAGGTTTGCCAACCTTGTCACACGAAATTTGTCAGAGTCACTTACAAATAATCAACCCACATCAGTCAAATCACGCGACAAGGGCGCGGATCTCAACGAAAAAATTTCACTAATTAAAAACCTACGGTACGGAAACGCGTTCGTAAGGGCGATCGTGTGTGGAGAATCATTGTACGCTAAGGAAACGTGATTTTGCAGAGAAAGGGCAGCAATACGATCTTACTTACACGTCTCAACGTATCGCTAACGAATAAATGCCTAGAGATAGAGCGCAACGCGTACGGAGGAAAATAAGAAAAAAAAAAAAAAAAAACGAAAAAATACAACTAGATATGCCAGTCTCTCGTTGCGCGCGTCATCAAAACGAAAAGTCGGCGAGCGCCGATTCGACGTCTCCCGTTTTGGAATCAACCTAAACGAACCTACAATTGACATTAAAAAGAAATATCTTAGATTTTATTAGCGCTACGGAAACGCGCCTAGGGGCGTTCACGCGCGTATCGTCGCTGTCGTCTTCGTCGTCGCGTGTACCCTCTAAAAAGATACAAGAAAGATCCCTCTAAAAATCCAAATGGAGCATTCAAGAGCGCGATAGCACACGCCGATAGTCGGTACCCACATGTGTCTACCGCGAGTCCAAAAAGAAAATCTCTTGAGAACTTACGAAGAAGATGATCAGTCGGACGACGAAAAGTCTCGCGAAACGAAAGGCAGACCCCGACCTGAGTCGGGAAAGAATGACGACGAAAGTGACGGACGATGCGCGCGTCGCTGAGGACTGCGGTCCTCTCCCAACCACGCTGTGGTTCCGCGTTCGCCATCTCCTACGAAGTCAAAGAAGAGAATTCTACATAGTCGTCCGGAACAGGGAGATCGGTTTGTAGAAGAGCGGACAGAGGTCGGCCGCGGTGCGCAAACGGCGGCGGTTCGCTAAGTTCTCTAATGGTTACGGCCACTGGCTGTAGAGCTGAAACTGCTCGCGGGTGAAGCAGGCCGACAGCGGCTTCACGAAGTGTGCGTCGACCGCCCTGCAGTGCGGGCAGGCGAAGACGCGGCTGTAGTCCGAGTAGAAGTTCAATCGCTGGTGCGGGTAGATCAGGGGTTTCTGGCAGCTATTACACTGGAACGTAAACGGAACGACGGCGCGTGTTCATTTTCGTATCTACGTGGTGCTTCCGTCAGGGAGCCGCGCATGCGTCCTCGATCTCGTTGAGTTCGCGGTTAAACGGGACGGTTACTTCGTACTTTCGCGCGCTTACGAGATATCATGTATATAATGCTTCGATCAAAAATGACGCGAAGAAATTTATATTAGACAATGTTTGCATCGACCAAACCCAAAGCGAAAGAATTCTATTTTCTTTGAGACAAGCAGAAATTAATCTCTTCAGTTCTTACCAGCTCTATGATCTTGAAAGTACGCGTGAGATTACATTGACAAATTTGCGAGAACAATTTCACTGATATAGCGCTTCTAAGGGAAAAGTACTATTTTCAGACATTTAATTCTGGACATTCTTATCGTTTTGATCTTTATATATAAATATTTCATTCTTAAGCGACAAGATGAAATTATGGGGCATAAACAACAAAATAATATCATATATAATTAACAACTGAGTTTATCTTTTTGAATTTATTTTTCGTTCTACATATATTAAACATTGTATTAGGAGAAATAAATAGCAGTTTAGCGGCAAGACATTTTTTTATTGTATAAAAATATTTTTTCAGTATAGAATATTTAATTTTGGCGTAAACATATCATAAAGTTTCGATACATAACATAAAAATACAAACCGAATAGAGTTATTGTTGACTGTCTCTCGTTTAAAAGATAAACTTTCAACATAAAAAAAAATATATATATATATATATATATATATATATACTTTGTGTTAAGAGCTTAAATATTTATAGTTAAAGATCAAAGCAATAAGAGTATCCAGAATTAAGTACATTGAGAAAAAAATATTTGGTATTTTTATTAATGATGCACATCGAGAAATAATTATTCTAAATTATAATCAAGAAAACTATTTCTTAAATTAAACTTCATCATAATGTTAGTAATTATAATCTTATATGCATATATTATTACTACACTGAGAGAAAAAATGTCTAAAAATTAGTAAATATTTACTGGGGAATATTAACAGCATATTTACTTGAATTTAAATTTAAATTCTTTTATTTCAATAAAATAAATAATTGTCAAAATTTTACAAACGTATTTTAAAAACGTATATTTATTTGAAAGATATTTTATTTTACTAGTACATAAGACAAAATATGCTGTTATGTATAGTACTCACTAAATATACAAATATTTTTTTCTTTAAACTACTATTTTACTACAAAAAAGAAATAATTGGGCCTGAAAATAACTATAATTTTAGTTAAATCAATAATTTCTTTTCTCTCAATGTACGTGTCCGAGGATCGGTACTTTTACCTTACGCGCGCGCAGCGTGTATCAACAATAGCGTGTCGAAGGGTCGGAGAGTTCGATCGGGTCGAGGTCGGCTGGTCACGAATTCGGGACTTACCTTGAGTCGTTCGCTGCAGCACGGCATGGCCGCAAAAATATCATAGCTGTACATGGTACCGAGGACCAAGCTCGATCCATCCCACGGTTGGGTGCAGCAACGACAACGTACGGGCTGGCCGCCGCTGCCCTCCAAACAACTCATGCATACGGCTGACAAAAATTGCGTGCGACCTTCGACCTTCACCTGGAACGAAACATCGAACCGGATGTGCTATCGTAACGTTACACGCGCGACATGGCTGCTGTGGTTGGATCGCGGTCCGCGAGATGCGCGAACGTGACAAAGAATGAGCCGCGATTTTGTAGTTTCCTGGATCAACGCGAGCTAAATTTTCAAACGATCCATTGACGGATTCGTGCGATTTTTGGCACGACGTTCCCAAATAACATGTCCCGTTCAAAAATAACAATTGGCTCGATGACGATACAAAAAGGGCGAAATCTATCGATGATATAATGTTATAAACAAGATCATACCTCGGCACAAGCGGGTGAATGTTGTCTGGGTGACAAGAAGAACGTGCCGTCCACCAGCGGGTACCTATCGAAAACCAGCATAGCGGCGCGACAAAGAACGCACGTAACTCTAGACCACTGTAACGCGGCCAATGTCGACAGGATGAAACATCTAGTGTCGTCGTTGCCGTGATTTCCCTCGTCTTCCATCTGAAACAAATCAGTAAAGAACGTTTTTATATGCTCGCATATTGAATAGTACATGCAATATAAATAATGCTAATAAAAAGAGAAAATTACTTTATCTTAATTAAAAGCACGATTTTATGATTTTGAAATATCTTCGCGCATTAAAGATTAAAAACACTCTTCGAAATTTTATTAATATAGTCACCCTCCTTTCATCAATATAACGAAGTGTATAAATAAAAATGTCTACGTAGCTATGTATGGCCACATAAACTTATTCTTTTCATCATTTTTCGGTAAATGGTAAGATACACTCAAGAAAACGCTAAAAAAAATCCAATCTGTCACAACCCAGACAACATAATGCCTAAAATCGGGATATTAGACGTTTTAAAGATAGTTTTTAAGACGCCTTAAAGACATTTATACGTAAATCGTCTGAAAGACATCTTAAAGATAATCTTTAAGGCGTCTTATGATCCCAATTTTAGACATGTTGTCTGGGAATGTCTTCAGTCTCCCGTCTTCCCTGGATAAAATCCCATCTATCTGTTTCTACTTTTTCAAAAATGGTTAATTCTCTTGAGCCATTTTTCGTTCTGAATCTCTCTTTTCCGATTCCACACGGACGATATCATTCCAACCAGAAAAGATTTATAGGTTAGAATTCAACTGCAAGATGGCGACTTCTAACAGGCTTGCCGTAAGCTAGTTAGGGTTCGGTCTTCACAGGAGGGATTCGATAAAAAAATATCAGCGAGGCGTATCGTGCCACCGGAGCAGAAGACACGGGAATACTTCGGGCGGAAACGATAGCCGACAAACAACGTCCTATCCCCTCGCTCGATCTCGTTTCCGGCCTGCTTACGGGGCGCGCGAGTGACGATAATTTGAATGCGGAATTCCCCATCTGGCGGCTAGTACGTTGGCGCGCGCGCCAAGTAATAACGTCGCGGCATCAACGAAGCTCACCTTCTACCGCCTTGATCGTTAAAGACCCGCTTTCGCGTTCATTGTAGCCCTCGGGAGGGAAAAGGGGCAGTAAACGCGGGTGTCGATATTGCAGCTTGCGAGAGGATCGACGAAGACGGTGGCGAGGCCGGAAAATCCGAGGAATGCAGTGACGCGGTCTCGATAGCGGATAAACTGCGAAAGTGGCGCCGGCTCCGCAATGCCGTGGAGATTTTCGCGCAAAGGTTGAGCGGGCTAGGAAAAAACTCAACAGTAAAGCTTTACCTGGATCCAGACACTAAAGGGCGCAGAACGCGCAGCGTAGTTCGAGGTAGCAGCCCGAATAAAAGTTTCGGAGAGCGTGAGTTTGAAGGTTCTCATAAGCGGTGGAAGGAAAAAGGCAACAGAGAGAGGTGGAGCGAGGTGCTTCCGAAAGCTCGCGCAGAAGCGAGGTAACGAAGTCTCTGAAAAGTCCGCCAAAGTTAAAGGCGGAAGGGAGAGGTGTAAGCTAGATGGGCGGATGTAGAGTGATAAAGAGCGAGGTTTTAATAACGAGCCGCGGACAGGCACGAAAACGGCGGAGAGAAAAAACCAGGATCGCGCCGGTGGACTGCAATGCAGAACTGTAACTGAGAAGAAAATTGAAAGACGCTGCTAGGAGCGTCGAGGAAACCGAGAAAGAGGACATCGCGAAGGAAAGCGGCGACGGGTGACTTGGCGCCATTGTTGGGGAGAAACGTCGGTAGACGACGTTTGTAACCACCGTAAATAAACTGGTCCTTCCATCTCGTTACAAAGAAAGAAGGAAATGGAATAAGAAAAGACGCGTGCAGCATCAAAAAGATGGAAAGTTGGACCCGAGTGGACACGGTTCCGTTATTCCAATTACTGAATCTTTCTTGTAACTGCTGGTAAAACGCGACCACTCCGGTGAGACGTATATCTAAGAAAAGAATTCTAGTCATATCATATTATTTCTTATAATTCTATTATCTAAGCAAAGATTTCTATCGAAAGAGTTCCTCTTCTAATGAAGTGGATTTATTTTAATGAGAAATCTGACACTATTAAATTAGAAACTATGAAAGTAGACACTATTCTGTTTTTCCCTTTTTGAATCAGGAGAAATATGCTCACTTGAAGTAGACTATCTTCTTCTTAGAACTAGTGTTCGAAAATATCGATACAATTATCGATACGTATCGATACCAGAGACATACCGATACGTATCTATGCCAGAGATATACCGATACATATCAATAGTCGTATCGATACTTTCGAACACTACTTAGAACTAGAAATTTATCCCATAATCCCGATCAGATTGATTCTAGTCATCTGATTTGTATAAAGAGATGTAAAGTGATGAAAAAATCCTGATGAGACATGTAACGCAGCGTGGCAATCAGTGCCTTATTGATAATAAAGATTATTAATAATTATGACAAGATAGAAAAAAGCTTGGTTGGACGAATCAATTTCTGATGAAACGATTCAGAAATTTTACTTGTAGTTATTCAATCAAAATTGTCAAGATTTCAGGTTAACTTAAGCAAAATTCTGATAATTTTAATTAGAATTTCTGAATTGTTCGTATTTCATTAGAAATTCATCCAACCCAATTTTTTCTCCCGTGCAGATCGGGATCAACCTAATCAGGATTATGGGATAAATTTCCAATTAGGTTACACGCGATACGAAAAACAAGTAAGATTATAGATAAAAGACGAAATTCTTCCAAATCTAAAAGTTATATTATGTGTAGAATATTTCTCTTTTTATTATAGAAGATAATATGCAAAAATAAAATCCTCTAGAATTTAGAAAGTCCTACTAAGGGGACGATATTGTATTTCTTTGATGTAACAACGATTGCCTTACGCGGCAACCAATCGATCCATTACAAGTGTACCGCCAACACGGTAGCGGAAGATCGTCATATAAGGATACATTATAGCATAAGTCATCAGAACATCGTCGGAGTTGTTGAGCACCGCGTACCATTCAATCATCGGGTTAAGCAAAGCCTTAACGCGATATCGGGATATGAATGGTGGACTGGTTGGTTTGCCGGGATGGGCCAATATCTAGTATATTTTTTATAAGTTCCGACAATTTAAAGATTTTTTATTTGGTGGTACTATTTTCTTTTCTGTTTTCGATGAGAGAAAAAATATAGTTGCTTTTGATGTCAACTATACTTTTTTGTGATTTTAACCAGAAAAGTAATTAGAAGAACCATCTTTCTAATAACACTTACTAAAACAATTTTCCTAACTATTTTTATGGTTAAAATCACAAAAGAATATAGTTGACGCCGAAAGCAACCATATTTCTCTCTCAGTGTGTCCCTTGTAATTATGCAGAGTTTTTATTTGAATGTGTGTCGTCAATTTTTGGCGATACACGGTTAAGAGTGCAGCTCCTGTGCGCCGCTCCCTCGCTCGTCTTACGTAATAAGCCTTTCTCGCTGAAGGACAACCACGTGGCGCATTCGCACTTGAAACCGCATAAACACCATCATTTCGGAGGCATTTCTGTGCTTCTTATTCCAGAAGTGTTCCGCGCTCACTCTCGCGCACGAGCCTCGCACGACATACCAGTTTACGACGGGGTCGCGATAAAATTGCAGGAAGTGTATTGTTGTGTGTTGTATCAGCGGCGCACAAGGCCGCCGTGCCCTTTAATCCATATCGTAAAAACTCTCGGAGCGTTTCTCGTCGATCGCACGCCCGCGATCGTTTGCGCCGATCGCGGCATACGTACGACTCGAGCGCGCGCGTTCGCGACGTACCAATTCATTTCTTCGACATTGGCGTCGAATTCTCATGGCGAGATGGATGGATGGATAAATGGATGTACATGGTCTGTTCTGCTCTCTCTCTCTCTCTCTCTCTCTCTGAACGTCCGCGGATGCGTCAAGGACTCCCGCTTCGCCTCTCGAGTTCTCGCACACGTTGGTCCGGCTAGTCTCGATATTTTTTCCCTTTTTCTCTTTTGTTTTTTCGCTTTCGTTCATTCCCTTATGCGTATTCCATCTCCTTCTTTCCCTCTGCGCCATGTGTGCGATCGTGTCCCTCTTGAGCGGCCGCTCCAGGTACTCGAAGACCTCTCCACAGACTGGAAACATACTTTCGTCTTCGAGGAATCTATCGGGCCGACGAAATGTCACGTACCGACGAACAATGTCGAGGACTTCGGCATTGGCTGTTGAGAAAAAATCAATGTCGCGGCGATACGAGAAGTTTATTTCGATTTCCGACAGAGCCGGCACTTTAATGAAGAAATAAATTGGTAATGTCTACCGATCAATCGCCGATCAAACGCCTGGTACTTCGTACCTAATATAGCTTGCCGAGCGTCATGAATCCATCCATATTGTTGAATTGTCGAATTCATGATGTACCTCCAATCGAATCGTTATATTTATTATTTCGTACATCTCGTACTTTGTGCTAATATACTGGGATCGCGCCAAAGTACCTTTTATTAGCGAAACGCTAAACGCGAAACGTCGTTTCCATTTAGAAATTGGTATCTCGAATCTGGAGGTATTGCGCGGTATACGCTGTAAAAAATTTGTGTACAATTACATCTATTATAGTGGGTAATTTTGAGACCAACTATTATAGATGTAAATTTACACACGTAATTATCGCATAAAATATATATTTATACAGAAGAAAGAGACATTTTGATACGTGTGTAAATTTACAACTATAATACTTGGTCTCATAATTATATGGAATTTTACACAAATTACACATTTTTACAGTGTAGGGTTGAGAGTGTGCGGAACACGCGGTCGATCAGTCGTGATTAATAATCGTCAATCTGATTAGTAATTGTTAGCGATAACCGCCAGTTCGACTCGCCAACGTATTTTCCTATCTTGTGACGCGTGTATTTTAGCTTCGTCATTTATACTCCGATAAAATTCGCCACAGCACTCTCTCTTTCGTCTACGGTCTGTCGATTTTAATACGTTTTCGGCATTCAAAGTGCGGGAAGGTTACTATGGCGAAGATTCGGCGAACACGACAACAACGACGAAAGGCTAGCGAACCCTG